CTGGTTGGTTGCAGGCGACTGCGGTTGAAGATACAGCATGAAGATACAGTGGAAGATACAGCATCCATACTTGAAGATACAGTATCCATGCTTGAAGATACAGTATCCATGCCTGAAGATACAGTGGAAGATACAGCATCCATACTTGAAGATACAGTAGCCATGCTTGAAGATACATTATCCATGCTTGAAGATACAGTATCCATGCTTGAAGATACAGTATCCATGCGGATACAGCAAAGTTGCCAGACTTTGCATCGTAACTTGATACTAATCCTTAGCGTTAATATTTCAAGACACATGCCTTGCTCAGTCTTGCCATTGTAACGAAGCAGCTTCGAGGTGGCATTTGCCACTACAACACACGGACCTACCAGCTGCCACGGACCTTGCCATAGCGGCCACGCCTGAATAACGACCACGTATCCGTGGCCAGGCAGCTCCTTGCCATTAAGGCCACTGAAGCGTGCTGTAAGCTTCTCTGCTCCAGCCAGCAGGATGTCCCCTAGACCCGTCTTGCTGGAGGCTGTGCAACCCGTCCTCCTAAGGTGCCCCAACGTCAAGAAACAGTCGTACTAAAGTGCCCTTATCCTAACCTACCAGAGGACCCAAAACAGAAAACGGGACAGTATGCCAATTTTGCGAGTCGCTACCATTTTGTAGAACTAAATTATCTTATAAAACAAATATGTATTCAGGAAGAAAATGTGAAATTTCATGTCATTGTATTTTGAAAATTTATAGTTAGTTTCGTTCATTTATTATGCACCCCATACCCATCTTGTGGGCGGTAGTGGAAAGGGTTACAGAGGCACATAATGGGCTCAGGGACTGAACCCCACAATTCATTTAGCTAAGCAAGTTACAATCTTGATGAGCTAGTTACAAAATTCAATAGACATCGTCACATCAACAATGGGTTCGAGATCGACCACAAGTACAGTTTGTAAATTTAGCAACTGACATATGTGGAGAGCTAGTGTCACAATTGAAATATTTGTCCTGCACACCGCCCCCCATCCAGTGGGCAGCGGTGGATAGGTTACACCGCCCCCCATCCAGTGGGCAGCGGTGGATAGGTTACAATCACTTAGTTACTACCTACAGTTAGCGAACTGGGGATAAATTCATATACAATATGTGACTGCAAGCAGGCGAATGTCTTGGGAGTAACCGGAGCAAGTTATAAAGCCAGTGACTGGAGTGAGTGTCAGAGTGACCAATGAATGTGACGTTGAGAAGTGTCAAGTAACAAAGGACACTGACTTCGAGGAGTGTCACTTCCTAGTCACCAGAGACACTGTCTCAGTTTGTTTTCCCAGTCGACCGTGAGCGAGTGAGTGTGTGTGTGTGTGTGTGTGTGTGTGTGTGTGTGTGTGTGTGTGTGAGTGTGTGTGAGTGAGTGTGTGTGTGTGTGTGTGTGTGTGTGTGTGTGTGTGTGTGTGTGTGTGTGTGTGTGTGTGTGTGTCTATCTCTTTTTACAATTTTTGTTTCGGTTAGTGCCCAACCTGTTTGTAGTAAAAGATAATTGGTTTACAAATGTTTAGCCAAATGAGGAAAACCTGCCTTCCTAACTCACTCAATTTGCGGTTATTAATCTTCACGCTTGGGTGAGTTGACTCTTAAATGCTTTCTAGACTTAGAGTGGAAATGGGCATCTTGCCTTTATTGGCGACTAAATTAAATATTTCTTGAACAAATAATATTGTGAGTGACTTCAACGCGCAAGGAAGATGTAATCCAAGCGAACTGAACACGTGATAAGCTTAAAAGTAAGCGATCAGTTAATGCCAACTACATCTTCACTATGCACTAACCCGAACGAATTGTGGTTAACAAGAATCTGGAATTCTTGTTAACCACAATTTGCAGACCTGAAAGCTGCAGTATTAAAAGCTATGGCAACTTTTATAATAATAATTTATTTGTATGGTCAGCACAGTAAGCGGACCAGCCAATGTGATGTAGTCATTGCGGTAATTCGCCTTGGCTATAGACACATCTGGCAGGTTAGTGAGGCTGAGCCACTACCAGAATATTCAGATTGTAAACTCTGTGACAAACCTTTGTGACATTCACTTGAACACTATTTTGTTGAATGTGAAACCGTAAAAGATTTTAGACCTCCTGGCCTATTGTACCACCAACTGTTTAACTATTTCATTGAATCTGGTGTCCTGGACGACATCCTAACAATTTATAAAAAAATTGATTGTCCATTTTAAAGAATGAAGAACAATTGTATTTATATTATTTTTAAGCAGTATCACTTATGAATCCATCCCTGCCCTTGTGTGGCAGTGCACAATAGAAAGTTGTATTTACATATTCGTACATTGAAATGTGTATACAATCTAATGTTGTTGATTGTAACCATGATATATATGTGCTTCAGCCTATAGTTTAGCCCTATTGTCTTGTATATGACCCTCTGTCCTGTGTGACAGTGAATACCAGCCTTATCCTCACTCTAATAAGACCCAATTGAATTCCTCAGATTAGGCAAAATTGTAATTAATTTTTACCAATAAAGATCTTAACAATAATAATATAATGGACGTTCTCTTACTTAAGAGTCTTTCAACCATCCCTATTACGATATTTGCTTCCTCTTGAGAAGAACAATAGACCCATTTTTTTTATCTTCATACATGTTACAGTGGAATAATTTGCATGTACCGAAGGTGCTCAGCCGTTAGACGGGGAGTTAACTTTACAGTGCTCTGATTCTAATTAAAAATAAAAACAATCTGGTTGTTTAACTAACGTTGCAAAAATTGCCTCAGTAAATGTTGGTCTGTTGACACTTGTTTGCTGTTGCAGATGAGAGAGCTAGAGAGGAGAGCTACTGACCCTGGGTGTAGGGGAGGGCTATACTGACCCGGGGTGTAGGGGAGGGCTATACTGACCCCGGGTGTAGGGGAGGGCTATACTGACCCGGGGTTTAGGGGAGGGCTACTGACTCGGGGTGTAGGGGAGGGCTATACTGACCCGGGGTGTAGGGGAGGGCTATACTGACCCCGGGTGTAGGGGAGGGCTATACTGACTCGGGGTGTAGGGGAGGGCTATACTGACCCGGGGTGTAGGGGAGGGCTACTGACCCAAGGTGTAGGGGAGGGCTATACTGACCCGGGGTTTAGGGGAGGAGAACAACTGACAACGTCTATCATTCTGCTGATGCTATTGCATTACCTTTGGTTTAGGGTTCATAATTTATGCTACACACACACACACACAAACACACACACACACACACACACACACACACACACACACACACACACACACACACACACACACACACACACACACACACACACACACACACACACACACACACACACACACACACACACACACACACACACACACACACACACACACACACACACACACACACAAACACACACACACACACACACACACACACACACACACACACACACACACACAAACACACACACACACATGGGGTCTGATAGCTGAGCGAACAGCGCGCAAGACTCTTAAATCTGTGGCCCGGGTTCGATTCCCGGACCAGACAGAAACAAATGGGCAAAGTTTCTTTCATCCTAATGCTCCTGTTACCTAGAAGTAAATGGGTACCTGGAAGTTAGACAGCTGTTACGGAGCTGCGTCCTAGGGGGTTGTGTGTGTGTGGGAAAAATAGTTAGTAGTTAGTTACAGTTGATTGACAGTTGAGAGGCGGGCCGAAAGAGCAGAACTCAACCCCCGCAAGAACAACTAAGTGAATACAACTCGGTGACTACACACACCGGACCCAGGCACTAAGAGGAGACTTACCTCAGCATAAAGACAATGTTAGCCCCCTCAAAAGAAAATACTGCGCTGCCCAAAGTCAGCGAGAACACATTATTGGTTCAGCAGTTGTCTGAAGCCAAATGACTGACATAACCGGCTTTAGTGCGTTCTTCGTCGCCAGCGGAGTGTTTCACAACGCACTGCTGGGCCAGGCCATAGGCCCTTCTCCATACTTTCATGGCGTGAAACAATACCATAACCTGAACAAATCCACATCGCCCTCACGTGGCGATGTCTGTGAGGGGACTCTTGCGATGTCAGTGAGGGGACTCTTGCGATGTCTCTGAGGGGACTTGCGACGTCTCTGAGGGGACTCTTGCGATGTCTGTGAGGGGACTCTTGCGATGTCAGTGAGGGGACTCTTGCGATGTCAGTGAGGGGACTCTTGCGATGTCTCTGAGGGGACTTGCGACGTCTCTGAGGGGACTCTTGCGATGTCTCTGAGGGGACTCTTGCGATGTCAGTGAGGGGACTCTTGCGATGTCAGTGAGGGGACTCTTGCGATGTCAGTGAGGGGACTCTTGCGATGTCAGTGAGGGGACTCTTGCGATGTCAGTGAGGGGACTCTTGCGATGTCAGTGAGGGGACTCTTGCGATGTCAGTGAGGGGACTCTTGCGATGTCAGTGAGGGGACTCTTGCGATGTCAGTGAGGGGACTCTTGCGATGTCAGTGAGGGGACTCTTGCGATGTCAGTGAGGGGACTCTTGCGATGTCTGTGAGGGGACTCTTGCGATGTCTGTGAGGGGACTCTTGCGATGTCTGTGAGGGGACTCTTGCGATGTCTGTGAGGGGACTCTTGCGATGTCTGTGAGGGGACTCTTGCGATGTCTGTGAGGGGACTCTTGCGATGTGTCTGAGGGACTAGTTTTGTGTGTGTGTGATGTTCTGATTTATGTTACATTCATCAAGGAATGGTTTTAAGTCTGCAGTGATGTTCTTGGATTATATTTAATTCATCTGTCTCAGACCCAATTAAGTTGTCAATTATTTTGGAATTACAGTTATCCAATCATCTGGACTCGTTATACACTACGATAAAATTAAATAAACTCATCAACCCGGAGGAAAAATATACAAAATACAGTCACAAAATACTAAAAAAATCAATATATTCGTTACAATGAAGTCTAATGGCCTGGTTAGGTCATTGAAGGATGAACAAGTAACGTTTACCTACTTGTCTTGTGTCTTCTCCTTGCCCCAAGATAACGAGCGCCGTTCCACGATTTCTGGAAGACAGAGAGATAATAATCGCTATATAATCATCATATAAAATAGATTCAGCACTATCGCGAGTGTCAGGGGAAGTGGCCTTAGATATTCTGGACCAATTGTGGCTTGGCTGAAACTGGCGCCCCCCCCCCCTTGTGTTATTGTAGCTGCTGCTGCTGTTTATCGTGATAACAGTAGCCCTGCTACTGTTAAAGCAACAGCCCCGCTACTGTTATGTTGATAGCAGCAACAGCCCTGCTCCTGTTACGTTGATAGCAGCAATAGCCCTGCTCCTGTTACGTTGATAGCAGCAATAGCCCTGCTACTGTTATGTTGATAGCAGCAACAGCCCTGCTACTGTTATGTTGATAGCAGCAACAGCCCTGCTCCTGTTATGTTGATAGCAGCAATAGCCCTGCTCCTGTTACGTTGATAGCAGCAATAGCCCTGCTACTGCTATGTTGATAGCAGCAACAGCCCTGCTACTGTTATGTTGATAGCAGCAACAGCCCTGCTCCTGTTATGTTGATAGCAGCAATAGCCCTGCTACTGTTACGTTGATAGCAGCAATAGCCCTGCTACTGTTATGTTCATAGCAGCATCAGCCCTGCTACTGTTATGTTGATAGCAGCAACAGCCCTGCTACTGTTATCATGATAATAACAACAGCCCCGCTCCTGTTATGTTGATAGCAGCAATAGCACACATTATCACCAGTTTAAAACAATTGTGCCACATATTTCCAACATAACACAAACTATTACTTAATCTCAGCAAAGAGGCAACAGAGGCAGCACTTACGAACCTCTACATCGTTTCTCAATCTTTGGCGGCTTTGGTTACATTTATTAAACAGTTTACAAGCATGAAAACTTCCCAATCAACTGTTATTATTGTTATAAACAGCCTCCTGGTGCTTCGGAGCTCATTAACTCTTTAATAATTGTAAACAAAGCCGCCAAAGAGTGAGAAAAGATGTACAGGTTCGTAAGTGCTTGCGTAACTGCTTCGTGAATCTGGCCCCAGGATGTGACATCACTCTAACCTGCATATGAATTATGCATGATAAATCATACAAGAATGATAACTCATATTTCCTCAGCACTATGTCGAATGATGACTCACAGGTTCCTTTTGACCATGTCGTAGCTCAGTCGATTAAGGCAGCGTCTGGGATGCTCTCAGACGCAGGTTCGAATCCTCGTCACGGCCCTTGTGGATTTGTTCATTTACAGTTGAGGAAGTCCATGGGCAGTACCAGGTGAGGTGCCCTGTGTTGCTGAACCGTGTAGTGGTGACTGACAGGTGGGAAGATTCGTGATGTTGAGTCAAGTAGTGATTGACAGGTGAGGAATCCAACGTGTCTCGCCCTGCGAGGATTCTACCTCATATAAAGAGTGTTTGATCTTGACGCTCTCAGTGAAGGGCAGAAATGTCTCAATTATTTACTCTTTTTTTTAAATGATAAATGACTCATTTATCATTTGAAAAACGAAACTCAGAGATATGAATAATTATTCAATGAGCAAAGACTTGTGTGTGTGTGTTTGCTGTAGAAGGCTACTGGCGTAACTACACGTCCTCGTGGCTGCTAATTGGCATTTTACAACCAAGGGGATTGACTGTTCTGTACACGTAAAAACACTCATAACACAATACAAATAGAGCCGAAGTTCAACCCCCGCAAGCACAAATAGGCGAATACATATACACACACACACACACATACATACACACACACACACACACACACATACACAATACACAACACACATGTATAGTACAGTGTCACGTGCGTAACTAGTACAATCACTGGCCAGGACGGAAGGTACACTGTGTTCAACACATCTCGTCCAGAACTCATCATCGTCGTGGACCATCACCTCAACACATCATCACGTTAAGCATGACCATCGTCCAGCAACAAACAAACACTAAAATACAATAACATACAGCATGCTGGCAGACGTCACCGAATAATCAGATTTAGCGAATTAGACAAAAATAAACTGTGCAGTAACAAAATACTTTTGTTGTGAACATTGTAATAAAAAACTGTACAAGCTAATGTAACCCACCACAGACGAGCCTTTGAGATTGTCAGTCTTTTTCCACCAGGGGATTTGTTTGACGGGAAAAAATTTAAGCCAGTCTGAAAGCCTGGGTGGGGACAATGGGGGTTCGAGACCCGCTCTCTGGGGTTCTCCCACGCCTCAGTAGCTTCCAGCAACCAGTTCACATGTGACAAGTCATCTTTTAAGTGTTTTCCTTTCTTTCAAAAGCGGTGCAGGTTAACACCCAAGCCAAGTGTCCCCGTTGCGCGAGGGATTACTCGGCCCTGGAGTAGGAGCTCCTGAAGGATGCTTCTAGCGAAAGAAGAATCATTAGGGGGGAAAACGCCAAGTCATTACGACTTTATAGCACTTGGAAGGGGTCAGGATAAGAATTTGGGATGGGACGGGGGAAAGGAATGGTGGCCTAATCACTTGGGCGATTGGGGATTGAACGCCGACCTGCACGAAGCAAGACCGTCGTTCTACCGTCCAGCCCAAGTGGTTGGGCATGCTTCCAGCGAGTAACAACTGGTTTTTGTTCCTCATGAGAAACTCACGAGCAATGAGCATGTTATTCACTGCCACTTCAGGACAAACTTTCAATCACCGAGTCGAACTCCTGGATTCATTCACAACTATACCGAAGTTTACAGTCACAAAATCCTTAATATTTTGTCACGAGATACATGAACAAATTGCAAGTAAAACACGGACTTGATCTCAGTTTTGTGTAATTTTTCTTTCCTGCTTGACCAGACCAGAGTTCAGATCCGTCAAGGGAAATTTACGTGAAAATGTCTTAACAGAGAGGAAAGAGAAGAGGGAAAGAGAGAAGAGAGAGAGAAGTGGAAATAAAATAACGGAGAAGACACAGAAGACAAAGAAGAATGAGGAGAGGAAACCAACTCTTAGGCTCGAACAATATTACACAATAGCAATTCCACAAAATTTTGTATCTTATTTTGGTTAGGTAAAATTAGGCTACGTTAGATTAGCTTAAGTTAGGAGAGGATAAGATCGCTTAGATGAGTTGAGTTGACATGGGTTGAGCCCGGTCGAGTTGCGCCGGGTCGAGTCGGGTCGGGTCGAGTCGGGTTGGGTTAGATTGGATTGGATTAGGTTTACTTCAAGAGTAACGATGACGGAGAATGGCGAAAATTATCTCGGGGGTCTTAGAGCCTACTCGCTACCTCCTCTGACGCTGACGCACCACCGTCTTTGATGGATTGGAATACCTTCTAAAGCTGAGGCAACGCTGTCTTGGAGGGTGGGAAGCCCTCTGCCACTACAACAACACCGTCTAGGAGGGGTGGGAAGCCCTCTGCCACTACAACAACACCGTCTAGGAGGGTGGGAAGCCCTCTGCCACTACAACAACACCGTCTAGGAGGGTGGGAAGCCCTCTGCCACTACAACAACACCGTCTAGGAGGGTGGGAAGCCCTCTGCCACTACAACAACACCGTCTAGGAGGGTGGGAAGCCCTCTGCCACTACAACAACACCGTCTAGGAGGGTGGGAAGCCCTCTGCCACTACAACAACACCGTCTAGGAGGGGTGGGAAGCCCTCTGCCACTACAACAACACCGTCTAGGAGGGGTGGGAAGCCCTCTGCCACTACAACAACACCGTCTAGGAGGGGTGGGAAGCCCTCTGCCACTACAACAACACCGTCTAGGAGGGGTGGGAAGCCCTCTGCCACTACAACAACACCATCTAGGAGGGGTGGGAAGCCCTCTGCCACTAGAGTAACTAAAGAGCTTTACGCCCGATGTTTCTACAGTCAATGAACTCTTGTTTTTTGTCTTCCTCGGTTGGGTGAGCTCTCTTATATTACCTGGGTACTGCATCTTGTGTTACTGTTGCAGCTGCTGCTGGTGCTACTGTTGAAGCTGCTGGTGCTACTGATGAAGCTGCTGGTATTACTGTTGCTGCTGCTACTGTTGAAGCTGCTGCTGGTGTTACTGTTGCTGCTGCTGTTGTTGTTACTGCTGCTGATAAAGCTGTTGTGCTGCTGCTGCTGGTGTTACTGTTGCAGCTGCTGCTGGTGCTACTGTTGAAGCTGCTGGTATTACTGTTGCTGCTGCTGCTGCTACTGTTGAAGCTGCTGCTGGTATTACTGTTGCAGCTGCTGCTGGTGTTACTGTTGCTGCTGTTGTTGTTGTTACTGCTGCTGATAAAGCTGTTGTGCTGCTGCTGCTGCTGCTACTACCAGTACAACGATGACTATTGCTAATGAGAGCAATAACAATGACGAATGAACATAGCATTAGAGATACATAAAAGCATTGACAACTTATATATAAAAAAAAGCTTTTTACACTAAACTATCCTCAAAATAATTGTCCTTTTGTATCTTCCCGAAATGATTGATGGTTGAATTGAACAGTAGAGAACTCAACTTTCACTTTAAGTCTAATTTCACGTTGGTGTACTTTCCGTCCCTGCTGCGCGTAAGTCCCTGCTGGGTAAGTTACTGCTGCGCGTAAGTCCCTGCTGGGGGAGTTACTGCTGCGCATAAGTCCCTGCTGGGTAAGTTACTGCTGCGCGTAAGTCCCTGCTGGGTAAGTTACTGCTGCGCGTAAGTCCCTGCTGGGTAAGTTACTGCTGCGCGTAAGTCCCTGCTGGGTAAGTTACTGCTGCGCGTAAGTCCCTGCTGGGTAAGTTACTGCTGCGCGTAAGTCCCTGCTGGGTAAGTTACTGCTGCGCGTAAGTCCCTGCTGGGTAAGTTACTGCTGCGCGTAAGTCCCTGCTGGGGGAGTTACTGCTGCGCGTAAGTCCCTGCTGGGGGAGTTACTGCTGCGCGTAAGTCCCTGCTGGGTAAGTTACTGCTGCGCGTAAGTCCCTGCTGGGTAAGTTACTGCTGCGCGTAAGTCCCTGCTGGGTAAGTTACTGCTGCGCGTAAGTCCCTGCTGGGGGAGTTACTGCTGCGCGTAAGTCCCTGCTGGGGGAGTTACTGCTGCG